ATGGCTATTAGTTGCCAATTTGCAGCATTGTCATGCTATGCTATTAATTAACATTCATTATCTTCATTATCTACCCTTTTTATTCTCATTTTATTTTTACAATAGTCTTTGATTATGTAAATCCTTTGGGCGTAATAGAAATTACAAAACCTTATGACAATTGGATGGTCATTCATAATTAAAACATAATGGCCCTTTTTTCAACTGGGGAATTGGTTTAATTACTTATTGTAAAGGCTAACTAGGTGGATGTATTAAAATTATTATCCGAATCGAAAGGGATAATCCTGGCGACATAAGTGTTGTCTTCCGTGACATGATCAATTAAACAATTGTCTGGGAACATTAGGCAATGCAAAATGTTAAACATCTCATCTCAAGTTTTCCTGTTCTTTCTTCTTTAAAGATTCGTTCACAATATGCTGATTAAGAATTATATTGATAGACCTCTGCAAGGGGTCATGATAGATCTTGTATTTTAATCGTCTCTCATGAATTGGTTGAATCCAACTCAGATTTTAATCACATCACCTGCATGCAAAAGGTCTGCCCATTTCAAAATCGTTTTTAGAGCCGTTTTCTTTTTACAAATAAATATATCGTTTGATTGATTACGTTAAACTTTTATAAATACATGTATCAGATCATACTTGTGTCAGATATTTCCCTAAGATTTACATTTTCTATATCAGACCAATAGCTTTCACAAAACTGCAAACAATGATTGCGTTCAGCAAAATTTATTTTATTCATAATTGTCATCCAGAAATTTACAAAATTTAATATGTACTCACTTAAGACTTTTTTATGGATACCCCTTTCCTAATAATTTTCCTTCTCTTGACACATAAATTGAGTGGCTGGTCAGGTACAAACTCGATGTCTAATAGCATTGCATAGGTCTTTTGTCCGTTATACATTTAATTTGATTAAATACTAAGTTCGAATATTACAAATTAATGACTTTTGTTTCATTATTTATTTATTTATTTTTATTTATTTATTTATTTATTTATGTGTGGCATAGTGTAGGTCATATGGCGACGTTCCAGCTTAACTGTTGGATAAAGATCTTAGGTGTCCTTCCATGCAGGCACGAACGGGCACCTGGGTAGAACAACCGTCGTTCTGTAAGCTAGCTGGATAGCTTCTTCACATGAAATAATCCAAAATCCATGTCGGAATTCGAACCCACAGCGGTGAGGGACGCGGTCACTTAGTCAGTCTACATTAGAAACACACCAGTTTTTATAGTTTTACAGTTTTATTATTAATTGTATGATTGTTAAATAATGTTTTAAATCGCACTGTCATATTACCATTTTATCATTTCTTTTGCATGTTATATTTTTTCGACTGATATTTTTTTTATTTAGAAAGCCGCATTGTAAATAAGATTTCTAAAATCTGTAAATGTCTTAAAATGTAACATTCTATAAATGAAGTATTTTTCATTGTTTAAATTATTGTTATCTAATTTATTAATTTCTAAAGATGAAACTACAAGGAATGGGAAACATCAATCACGGAACCATCAAAATTTTAGGATTGATTTTAAAATATTTTTTGTAAACAGTTACCCATTTATGTATTTGTTATCACTTTTTATATGTAACAGTAACATTAAAAATGTTAATTGAGACCACATCTGTTCAAGATGATTATTAATTTTTTTAATGTAGTTTCTGTTTTTGAAATTATGATCGCAACTGTGTTTGATGATTCAAATTAGCTGGTTCGATTTTATTTATTGTTGTGAAATTTGTTGCTTATCAGTCCGCGCATTTCTAAGTGTTTCTAAATAAGTTCGTAAATAATTATAATCGTATTAAAGCTTAATCGTTTATCTCAATATTATACTATCTCGACTTTTTTCGACTGTTCTGGCAACATTAAGAGATAACATATTAAGTCTAAATAAATTAAATAATTTCTAGGATCAATTTCGTATGCACCCCAAGTGAGCAATCTTGCAAATAAATGATTTAACCTTTTCTTGAACGAACCGATTCATTCTGAACTAGGAATGTCTCGAATAACACTAAAGTGATATTTGGCTTGTATTGTACAAAATGTCTGTGAAATAAAGATGAATTACAAAGAAGGTAGATTTGTGCAAGAAAAGATCATTGTGTCGAGAGAATAATAAAAATATATTCCCCTCAAGTTAAAAATATTATAACTCTATTTCAGTCGTTAAATTACGCTGTTGAAGGTTATTTGTGTATAAAACTATTTATAAAAGTTACTATTGTGTCTCATGCGATCAAACACGGTAAAATTTTTGAAGAATTTTCTGAAAGATCTATAAGCATGAAAGTGAATAATTATTCGTATTGTTTGTCTCATTGAATAAAACACGTTACATGGCTGAACATGTATAAGCCCATAAAATATTTGACTAAGTAAGCGATTTATCATTGTCATGTGGTGAATTTGTTTTTCCTAAATGAATGCAAAACTGTTTTTCATGTATATGCGATTTTAAGCATTAGGCCTCAGAATGGAATATTTCCCTTCTTTGAAAAAGAGCAAATTAGGTTTGTTACATTTAAATATTGGTGTAAGAACATGTCAAATGTTTTCATTTACGTCATATGCAGTATGTTGTAAAACAAATAGCATTTTGCTATATTTTCCCATGTTTCTCTCTCTTTACTTGTTCGTCTCAAAAATGCGAAAACACGAAAAAATTTACGACAAAGAATGTGTCAGCTGTTTCGAAGCATAGCATGGCAAATATCAGCCACCATATGATTTTGCACAAAACTCTAGATTTCTACAGGAATTAAAAAGATCAATCAATATGAAATTACGTGGGATTTTGTTCATGCATGTAATTTTTTTCGATGGTGGAAATATATACAGAATGATCGATTTGTCTGTAATCTATATTATGTAATGACTCAGTTGACAACATTGTGTATGTGTGGTTATGATATAATTATATGCCTGTCAATATAACATACCAATCAGTTGTTTTTCTTATAGTCTCATGTTTACATTTAGTAATATTTATAATTCATACAAATACCCCCTTTTTTGAAATTTTAGGAGATATCACTTATTTTTAGCGTTTAAACGAAAATTAGAGAAATGATTTATTATAATGACTCTTTATGTCTAGAGGGATGTATGATAAAGGCAATAAATCAATTAAAAACGTATATGCAAGAGGGGAAATGATATGTTGAAATTATGGAGTCAAACATGAAATCAGTAGCGTTGGTTGTATTTGTGTTGACAGCATAGAACATGTGTTGCAATTTATCATTCAATACTGACATTTAATATGTTTTTATCATAATTCTTCTTAATATATTTGATAAATACATAATGAACAAACACAATTCGACCATGACATTTGCGTGAAAAAAAATAGATATACAAGTTTATTGGATAAGTCACTATTCTTGAGCAATGCTTTGGAAAAAAAACGTCTTTCCGTTAGTATCATAAATGAAGCAATGAGAGTAAACCCTTTTATCGTCGATGATATGTAAGTTTTTTTTAGAATAATATAATACCTTCAGAAGTAGAGATTAATAAAAGTATAAAAGTGGGATAAGAATGTTTCAAAACGACTATAAACCCGTTCAGGTACATATTGAGGTACATTGTAATGCATCATTCTTTAAATAAGACAGAGAGCCGATCGAAATGGGTCAATATGTTTAGTAGGTTACGGAACGTTGGTAATTCTAAAGTGCACGCTTGTGAATGAATTAATGTGGGGCATTTGAGGTGTTACTACACCAGTACAGCTGGTAATTCTATTAGTTGTTATGTTTTGATGAGTTTATAACGATCATCTGTTGAAGACACCGTGCGTCGATATCATTAGTTATTGTCATAAGAACAGATGTTTTCTTATCAATCTTTAACGCATTAAACATGGATTTAAGAAGCGGGGTAAGTTGTTTGAAGTTATCGATCCCCAGTGTTGCTACAATTGCTCGGTCCTTAGGAACGTAGATAATAATAGTTTTAAAGGTGGAGATAGAACGCGATTGATTAGCTGGTCGAAGGATTCATGATAGATTTTGCATTTTAACTGTCTCTCATGCATGGTTTCAATTTTAGTGTGTACTTGTCTCATTTTAATTATTTTAGCCGCACTTAAATTGACTTCTCTATTTTAAAAGTCTCGACTGAACGCCGTATTACCTAACTCGATCAGTCGTTTGGCTGATTACATAATATTTTTGAAGCGTCCGTGGCCGAGTGTTTAAGGTCGTTGACCTGAAACCACTCACCTCTCACCGCTTTGGGTTCGAATCCCGACATGGACTGTGAATTCTTTCATGTGAGGAAGCTATTCAGCTAGCTTACGGATGTCGGTGGTTCTACTCAGGTACCCTTTCGTGACTGAAATAATGCCCAACAGGGCACCCGAGGTCTTCTACCACCAGTAAAGCTTGAATGTCGCCATATAATATATACTATGTTGGTGTGACATAAAACCCAAATAGAACGAACAGAACATAATATTTTTATTATTTTCACATTCAACTAGTGTTTGTGTTAAAAAAAACAGTTTCTACTACCGTAGACCAGTAGTTTACCCATTAATGACTGACAAAGACAATATGTAAGCCGTTCACTAAAGTTTAATTTACTAATTATTCCCCCGCCTCGGAAATTTATAAATGGATCAGCGACAAAGTGATTCATAATATTTTAAATTGGTCATAACGGTAATGTCACACGTTAAATTTCTTTGCAAAAAATTGTTGATCAATTAAATTGATTGTTTTTGTTTTTGTTGTTGCTGTTATTGTTGTTGTTTATTAATTTGGCTTCTTTTGCGATTTTAAAATACTCCTATCAGTCCACCTAGTGAATGACAAATGTCCATCAGATGAATGACAACCAATGTTAAAGCAACATTTTTGCCTGTATGCAGCCTTTTTTGCTCATCTGTTCATTGCTGAGAAATGCAATCTAGAGGCATTTATATCTTGAACCTGTGTCAAACAAAAACAAACAAGCAAAGACAAAGTCAGTAGAATGTTTTTATTCAAATCAAGGGAGAAACATATAGGTTTATCACTGATTTATTTGAGTTGTCATTACTCAAAATTATTTCGTAAAACCAATACTGTGCCTGTCATTTGTCAAAAAAATCACCAAAAGGTTGTATATCTTATTAAAACAAAATATTATTTTATCTGGCAAAATATGTAAAGGAATCATTAAATAACAGAAATACAATTGTCAATTCTCTCAGAAAAATTTGATAAAAGAATATACATGACTGCATTAAAGAATATATAAATTCCTTTAACGTCTTCATTTAATGCATATATTTTATCTAATGATTTTTCTGTTGCTATAAAATTACGTTTAAAACTGTTTACAGTTTATTCTCAATACTATGGTTTCAACTTTTGTTGATTTGAAATAACGTTCTTGAATTAATGTCGACTTTAAAATGTTACGTGACATTATTTTTAAAGTTTATTTTTATAATTCATGGAAAATTGGGATTTAAAAATGTATTGTTTATGCATTTTGATCAATGCTTTATCACATTATGTATGATAATTAATGTACTATATACAAGTCAAAAAAAAACACTATTCTGTTCTGTTCTTATTGTGACGTTGTCAAGATTGATAAAACTCAGCTATGTCGTAGCGTAGAAAGAATTAGATAAACATTTTTCTGAATAAAAGACTTGCTTGACTTTACATTAATGGTCTACAAGTGTATATCATAAGACTTATCTATTAATGAGCCAGCTGGTAAATAAAAAGTTTTTGCAATTCACTGTTGTCTTATCCACATCCCTGTATTCCACAAGTCTCCATAACCGTTCCAGTGTCTGTAGATACATAACACAGCAAGTGGCCCAATCTGAGAGTTGGGCAGCGACAGTAGTTTTCGGCTTCGGAAAACGACGCCTCTGGCATAAGATTCACCCTTATTTCATTTTTGTAACTGTTGTCATCCCACCTCTTGCATATGTTGCCATATTTTGTTATGTTTCGTTTTCCCCTGTAGCTTCTTGTGTTTTGGATATAGCAATCTGTAAATGAAATGATAATGAATAATTTATTTAACCTGATTGTCTTTCCATTTAGACTGGAGTAACTATATTTGAGCCGCGTCATGACAAAACCAACATAATGGGTTTGCGACCAGCATGGATCCAGACCAGCCTGTGCATTCGCGCAGTTTCTCAACTTGTAAAATAGTTGATAAACGAAAAGCATGGATCCTGATCAGACTGTGCGGATTCGCAGGCTGGTCTGGATCCATGCTGGTCGCACTATGTTGGTTTTGTTATGGCACGGCTCATTTATTCTTAAATAAAGATTCATAAATTATGTACTTAGTTTTGCCATATGTTTGATTATTTTTATGTCACACCTGCAAAGTATAATAGTCATATTGCAACGTTCCAGCTTTACTGTTGGAGGAAGACATCAAATATCTTTCCGTGCATTATTTCAGGCGCGACCGGGCACCTGATTAGAACTACCGACGTTCCGTAAATTATGTATTTAACTTATGTAAAAACATTAATACTTAATAACACTTAGCATCTTGTTTGCATGAAAGTGCACATAATTCTATAGCGTTACATTAAAATCATGTTTTATTCAAGATAAAATGAGGCAGAACTGCATGCTTAAACATGGTTATCAATTATTCTTGTTTTAATAAAAGACACGCATTTAAAATTGAATGCTTAATAAATAGTATACAAAACAAGTTCTCATATCATAAGGCTCGACACGAAAAACAAAATAAATGGCTGATTCTTTTTAATGTCAGACAATAACATACAATTCTTTATAAACATATGTAGTCTTTATCCGGCCAAGCCAATGTTTTGGTCCATGATTTCCTTGTATAATCTAAGCATTTAATTTAATACTATTTTGCATTTCATGGTGGATTTGGTGTAATTTTGCATACTGAAACAGTCCAGACAAGAACAAACTTGACATTACCGTATTCTTCACAAAAGGCGGTCTCCCAGATACCATTGAATGTGCACGTTATTTCGTCAGGTCTAGCACGGAATCTAGGATCACAATTTACAGTTGCTCTGTCCATAAAGTTTGTTCCGGATTTCAGAGAGATGTTCCCGTAAGCAATAGAGGACGGAATCCCACAATCTGCGATGAAACAAAAAGAAATACTCTCAGAAAGTTTATCACACAACATGGCATTATTAAGTCCCCTTCACATTTTTATCTAGCACAGTGTCACCTGCGAATACCCTTTAAATATTTGAATTTGCTAACACCTTGATCTATTTGAACTATTTCAATTATTAATAAAAATGTTTTAAATTGTTTAAGGCAGAAAATGTCAATATTGCGTTTCTTCCTTCACAATTTATGGAGTGTTACGTAAAATCGTCAAAATTTAAAGAAAAATCTATTTTGTCTTTCACAAGACAAAATGGCACAGACACACAATGCATATAATATTTATTGCGTTTATGTCGTTAAAACTTCTCTCACGTATTTTGTTTGCCGTTTATGTGGGTTTTACAGTCACGTATTGAGGAAAGGATCGATGAAAACCTGCCGTCTCATATGGATAACAATCATCTTATTTTACAAGAAAAAACATATTTCCGGATATCGATGTTCGTGTGATTGAGATAAATGACTTTGAACCATTTGCCCCTCAACGCTTTATATTCGAATCTGTATATTCGAATCACATCACACAGATTTTGGAGTCTTTAATGTGACGAAATTAACCAAACTTTATAAAAAACTTAGATTCACAGAACTACGAAAAAATTTTCGTTATTTATTAATTAAACTAATATTAAAGAAAAGCAAATTTGGATGTCCACAAAAAATAACTTTATCAATTACATTTAAATATTTAAAAAAAATGTATATTAACAATAAACTTTTCACTAAGTAGAATATAAAAAAGAAGAAAATTGACATTCAACGGGGTCACAAAATGACGGAATAAAACACATTTAGACGTTCGTTTATATAACTTAAATATAATTTTAAATTCAGTTATGACCATCATAAACATTAATGAACAAAGAAAATATGACAGGAATATTTACCTCTCCTTGTATAATGCAACGACCCGTCTGCAATTTCCAGTTCTGTCTCTAAAAAATACATACACCCGTCACACCTCCTTTTCTCTGGCTGGTAAAATATGTCAACACAAGATGACGATTTTTTACAATACAAAGCACATTGCATATCGCTGTAAACCTTGCCAACACTTAAAACGCGTTTCGAATCAGGACAAGTATAACCGTCAAACACTCTTGCCCTCCTTAAAATAAAGAATTCTGAAGAGTACAGCAAACAAACAGACATACCAAGTGCAAAAAAGGAGAGAGAATTTGCCGATGCCGAATTTCTCATTTTGCATGCGCCTCACGATTCAAACTGAATAAGTTATCTTTTAATTCTATTTTGTTATAACAAATATCGCGCATGTCCATAATTGTCAAAGTTATGCTCAGAAATATATTACATTTTAATTATGCTTTATGCGGTTGGCATTCAAATGTTTTATGTAGTTTATTAATAAACAATGAAATGGCGTGAGCAAATAGGATAGCTCACTTTTCATCAATATATCGCATTGGTTTGTGCAGTTTAGTTAATTGCCTTATAAAAGTTTGAAATTGGAGATATTTACCTTGTCATTTTCACGACAATAAATATTGATACTTTAATTAAAGTGCTAACGTAAATGATCAAACAAACATTTAGGTACATATATAATTTTACAAATAGACATAAAAGACCAAACGGAGAGCTTAGATAATTTATTAAAAACAATCCCTTGTGATTTAGCGACATTTTTTTCAACAAGGATCAAACAAATTTCCAGACAGAGACGTTATAATGAAAAAGAAGCTACGACTTGCGAAAGAACTCATCGTTTCAACCAATCTGATTACACTGTATATATATATGTGAATGTTTTTAATTACCTAAAATCTGCTACAGGACAATGATGCCCCTGCTTCCCCTGCCTGTCACAGTGCCATAGATACAAATTATTTATTGGATAATGATTGTACATTTTCCGTCATTTTGACCCTGATTTTTGTTACCATATGACCTCAAAATTTTTAAGTTTCATCTACTGATCAGGTGTAATGTCCCTATTTGGTTAAATAAACCATGGCTTATTCATTCTTAAGTAATTAATCAAAGATTTTACATGAATTATCATGGTTACCTTGATCTTCGACATATGACCTCAAACATCAATATAGGTCATTTTCTGGCCACTGGCAATGACCGTACCAAATAATATAAACCAGGGCTTATTCCTTCTCAAGTTATCGTATGGACAAGGTTAATGGACCGTTAGTACGTACATACTGATCAACTTTATCACAGGATGGACCCAAAAAGTGCCATTACTTAGTCAAAATTAATGTCTAATTCATTGGCTTCAGATATTGTCTTCCTAATATAGTCCTTAAGACATTTATCAAGTTTTAGTGAATACCATCAGTAGTTTTAAAGATTAATGTTGCTCGTAAAACTTTAATCACGAATTACCTAAGTTTAAACATTTCATATATAATATACGATTGATAAATGCTATATATACACAGTAACTCGTGGACACGACACAGAAACTCATGCCCAGGACTTAATCATCTCGTATACACTATTTATTAACTCGTGGCCACGACATAGTATCTCGTGCCCTCGACTTAATTAACTCGTGACCACGACATACACTATCCTGCTCACGACGTAATTATTTCTTTCGCAAGACTTAATAATCGTGGCAACGACACATTATCTCGTGTACACCACTTGATTATCTCGTGCGCACGACTTATTTACTCGTGGCCACAACTAAGTATCTCGTGCGCACGAGATGGATAAAAACATGAACACATGTCACGTCTGTGCCACCGTAGATATTTTTTTATTTTTTTTGATATTAAAGATATTATTATGTGTGAAAAAAAACGTACTGTTGGTTTTCATTACATGTGGTCCTCAGCGTAGACCGTGCTTATATTATGAAAGGACGTTTGAAGCCGCATCAGACGAAAGAAAAATGTTTTAAAAGCGGCTTTTTAATTTTTGATGCCATAACTAGGGATTGTCATGCTCTCGTTTCGCTGATTATTTATTAATTAATAATAATAACGAGATTTAACTTTAATAGGGAAGATATTGTATCCCCGTTATTACTTTTCAATCGATTTCCCTGAGATGAGCATTTCCAATAGACAAATTGATACATGTCAATAAACCAACCAACAAACATGGAATTTTGAGGTATGGGTTTAAAGGGAGACATAGGAAAAATTTCACTTCTTCGTTTTTATAATTTTCATTCATTATTCTGTAAATGTCCTCAGAACAAATACACTAGACAGTCACAGGAACAAAACTTTTCTCTTCATAAAAAATAAAATGGTGGTTTCCTAACTTGACCCACGTGGGTCAGGTTAGAGCGTTTAGATTTCACAATAGTGAACTGTGGAAGGGTTAAAGAACATGTCAAATGAACCACTCAGACTGGTTTAATCATACAATATCCAAAATATCTGATATTGTAAATTCAAGGGTTTGTTCAAATCCTATGACTTGTTTTAAAACTACTTGGTGATTCAGAAAGCGTCTTAATTTCATTCAACATATATAGATATATTTACACTTAAATTCTAAATATATAGAATTTATGCAGAAATTCAAGCTAGGACGTTAAACAAAATGTCATTTTAGCGTGATTTAAGTACATAAGGTCATTTAATATATTTGTCATTAATTTGCTCGAGTGTCCATTTAAAGTTGTATCTTTTGAACATATATCTTAATTTACTTTAATTACATTGCTTTAAAAGAATCGCATTTCATTTTGATCTTGTCCATTACGATAATTGATAAGATTTTGTAAATGCCAATATTTGTTTTAACTATTTTTTAAATATTTATTAAAAACACATTAAGCTTTCATGTGAGTATTATAGATTTAATATCTTTATTCAAGTTAGGAAAGTGTTATAATTTCTGTCATATTGTTACTATACATAATTTTCTTTTTCACTTTTTTTTCCTCAAAAAAAGGAACAAGAACTCTTGTATTGATGATTTTTATAAACGTCTGTCTCATGTTATTCTTAAAACTATTAACTGTCTAAACGCGACATGTCGCAAACTGTCTAAACGCGACATGTCACAAACTGTCTAAACGCGACATGTCACAAACTGTCTAAACGTGACATGTCACAAACTGTCTAAACACGACATGTCACATAAATAGCCATATGAATAATCAAAAAGGTTTGATTTATGTCAATATTACAGTTGTGGAAAAAAAAACTTAAAGATTTTGTATGTTGTAATTGAGGTTGTATACCACACTTAAATGAAATTATATATATGTATATAATTATGCTTATAAAACAATTTTCAAACATCGAAGAATATGTAAAATATGTTCTGCAAATATTTAACATATTATATGTTATCATTAAAAAATATGCATTGCATTCATTTCTTATTGAAAGAATTGACTTAGTTTTAAGTCTTAGAAAATAAATTTTTACTACCTCTCTTTATTTACATTAAATGTTGAATTTGGTAAATTAATATGTTTATACAAAATGCTTTTTAGAACTTATAAAATTGATAAATCTTAATTTGTGCATCATATTTATGAGAAAAAAAAACCATAAAATAATTAATGTGTTACAGGACCTTTAATGCTTAATTTAGGCAAGAGCTGGTACGTGAGTAGAACAACCAACCATCCTTAAGCTACCTTGTTTACTTGTTAACATTTTGATAAATAATCCAATTCTTTAGCAGAATCATAACATATAAAATACAATAAAATATCTTTATTTCTGCAAAGCAAATCATACATTACAAATAATGTGTTTACATATGTACAAGACAGTGTAAAAGTGGCATGGTTATAGTACAAATATTTAGTTTAATACAGTAATATATCGCCAACATTCACTGCAATTAAGATAGAGGAAACATTTTCTATTAAGTTTGTCTGGAAGAGAAATTGCAAGTAAGAACGAATGTGTTACATTTTCAACAGTGTAACCTAATCCGAAACAAAATGTAAGGCAAAACATGCTAAAATGTAGGTAATCGCAAAGTCAAATGTATATATTGAACTTTTTTAATAGACTAAATGTAGAATTAAATCATATTGCATTAACATTTTGAACACGTTTGCTAACAATGTATAGTGATTGTAATCGGCCACCAAAGCCATTATTTACCGTGTACAAAATATTCTTTGAAAATTTTATAAAAACTACTTTGTTATAGTAAAATAGAACACAGTTCGGTGTGGTGTTGATATATCTAATAAATCTTACATATCATTTAATTCCATCTAAAATAACAAACACACTGCCTAAAAGAACAAAAAGTAACTCGTGGCCACGAGATAGTATATCATGCTGACGACGTATTTATATCGTTCGCACGACTTAGTTACTTGTTGCCACCACAAAGTATCTCATGCACACGAGATGTTTAAAACATACATAAGCCACCTCTGTGACATTGTTGTTAAATATTTATTTTCTTGATTGATATTAAAGAGATTATTATGTTTGAAAACGTTATGTTGGGTTTTTTTTACTTAAGGTCCTCAGCGTAGACCGTTCTTATACTATGACAGGACGTCTAAATGCGGAATCAGACGAACAGAAAATGTTTAAAAAACGGCTTATTAAGTTTTTGAAGCAAGAACTTTGTTTTGTCATGCTCTGATTTCTCTGATTTCTCTGATTATTTATTAATTCATAATATAGAGATTTAGTTTCAAACTGAGAAGATATTTAACTTTAAATACTTTTCAATAAAGTCCCTTGAGATGAGCATTTCCAGTTTCATTTGCTGTACCATTGTTCTCACTGGTCTCTGACAAGCATTATAACGTATACGTTGTAACATAGAGGAGGAAACATGAGTCGCGCATACATAAAGCATCGATTCTATTCATTTCATTTTATTGTTATTGACAAATTGCGAAATGTCATCAAACCATCCTGAAAGGCTGAAACACAGGTAAAATTTGAGAAATGAGTTACAAGAGATATATTTTGAACATTAATATTAAATAATTTTGGAATATTGCATCGTCACATTTTGCAATTGATTTTATATTGTTCCCCTCGTTCTTTACCATAATTGATTAGATGTTGCAATTGCCAACATTTTGCCATTTTTTAAACTATTCTTCTAAGCTAGTCATGTGGATATAATTGATTTATTCTATGCTTTTCAGTGGATTACGGATTTATCCGAGAAAATTGTACAGTGAAAATTATCAAAATAGAATTTCACACTTTTCAATGCCGAAACTACTTTTTTAAGATTTTCCCCATGTGGAAGCTCAAATTTATTTTTACTGACAATTTTGACAAAGTCAGGCTGTTAAGAGAAAAGCAAAGCTGAAATTGATAAATAACTAAAATGTCAAAAGTAATAAAAAGAAGAAAACTAACTTCTATTCAGCAGAATTACCAATCACCAAATATCGACTCTTAAAAAATGGCGGCCGTTTACATTTAACAGAGCCAGGTCTTATATTAAATCGCAGTAAGTAACAGAAATATGAATTTATGATAAAATGAATAATATCACTGCCATTTAACGTTGATTATCCAACTTATTTATCAGCCCAGGACTTCTTGTATTTTATGAGAAATTCGACATTCACATTGTGTTTCCTCAGATGTGGTTCATATATTGATGATGTATGATATAGGGAATATTTGGCCGTTCGTCTAATATGGATATAAACCTGTGTATACGTGTAAATTTTCCTTGATATTCTTCAAAATCTATTAATATTACACATATGTATAATGTAAATATATATAAAAAGCAGGCCTATCAGTTGCCATTTTCAGCATTGCCATTACATGCTGCTATTAACCTTGGGTATCTTCATTATCTTGCATTTTTATTCGTTTGTATTTACAATTGTCTTTGATTCTGTTAATCCTTCGGGCGTTATAAAAACTACAAAACTTTATGACAATTGCAACGTCTTTCACGGTTAAAACATAATGGTCTTTCTTTAACTGGGGAATTGATTTAATTACCTATTGTAAAGGCTAACTAGGTAAAGGTATTATAATGAGTTAGAATGTTAAAAACCTCATCTCAAGTTTTTCTGTCATTACTACTTTTTAGATTCGTTCTAAAAAATTTTATCGGTAAAAGTTGAATTCTATTGATAGACCTGTTCAAAGGGTCATGATAGATCTTGCATTTTAATCGTTTCTCATGAAATGGTTGAATCCAACTCAGATTTTAATCACATCACCTGCACGCAAAAGGTTTGCCCATTTCAAAATTGTAATTAAGAGCGGTTTTTCAAATAAATATATCGTTTGGTTGATTGCGTAAAACTTTTATAAATACATGTGTCAGATCCCACTTGTGTCAGATTTTTCCCTAAGATTTACATTTTCTATAGCAGACCGACCAGTAGCTTACCCTGTATTGCAAACAAGTTTTGCCTTCAGCAAAATTTAGTTTACTCATAATTGTCATCCAGAAATTTACAAAATTTGTACTCACTTAAGACTTTTTTATGGAATCTCCTTTCCTAATAATTTTCTTCGCTTGACACATAAATTGAGTGCCGGTCAGGGACAAACTCGATGTCTTAATAGTATTGCATATGTTTTATATCCGTTATACATTTGATTTTATTAAATATTGAGTTCGAATATTACAAATTAAAGACTTTTGTTTAATTTATTTATTTATTTATTTTTCTATTTGCCTATTTCATGTTCAATCATATCTTAGCGGTTATTCAGGTCAGTTTGTTTGACTGGTTGAGTTTTACGCCATACCGGCACTGCATAGGCCATACGGCGTTCCAGCTTAACTGTTGGAGTAAGATCATAGTTGGCCCAAATCGGTGAGGGGAGCGGTCACTTAGTCGATCTACATTAGAAACCCACCAGTATATATAGGAAATACTTAATGATAGCTGATAAAACTTTGAAGAAACTTTTTTAAGGAATGAGCCACGATAAGCAAGAATTAAGTGTGGCTGTCATAAAAAAATAAACGTATTAAATGATTTTTGAGATATACAGAACAATTTAGATCAGAAAATACCACAGAGTTTGCAGCCCTTTGATATTTTTTCGATTGATATGATTTTATTTAAAAAATCGCAATGTAAATAATATTTCTTAAATCTGTAAAATTCTTAAAATGTAACCCTGATTAAATGAAGTCTTTCTCATTGTTGTTTTTAATGATCTTTAATTTATTAATTTCTAAAGACGAAACTACAAGGAAAGGGCAACATCGATCACACTACCAATAAAATTTAAGGATTGATTTTAAAATAGTTTTTGTAAACAGTTGCCCATTTATGTCTTTGTTAAACTGTTACAGTAACATAAAAATGTTAATTGAGACCACATATTCTCAAGATAATTATAAATCTTTTTGAATGTAGTTTCCGTTTTTAGATAATGATCGCAACTGTGTGTGATAATTCAAATTAGCTGGTTCGATTTTTATTATTGTCAAATTTGTTGCTAATCAGTCCTTGCATTACTTACAATAATGTTATTTTGTCAGACATTGCATCTCTTCAGACAAGTGTTTCTAAGACGGTTGGTAAATAATTGAAATCGTATTAAAGTTTAATCTTTTATCTCAATATTTCACTACATCGACCTTTTTCGACTGATCCGGCAACTCCGAGATAACGAAAGTCAACTGTACATCTATATGTATCTTTCAGATAATGTCTAAGATCAATTTCGTATGACGCCCAAAGTGAGTAATATTGCAAATAAATGAGTTAACTTTTTCTTGAACGAACAGATTCATTCTGAACTAGGAATGTCTTGCAAAACTCTACAGTGACATCTGGCTTTTATTGTACGAAATATCTGTCAAAACAAGATGAATTACAAAGAACGTAGATTTTTGCAAGAATTGATCATTGTGTCCAGAGAATATTAAAAATAAATTCCCCATTATATTAAAGCTGCATGCCTCCAGATGACCCAAAATATTTCAAGAAAATTAAACTTGGAATAAACATACTAAAACTTTAAGAAAAGTAAACAAATTAAATATTCAGGTGAAAATTTATATCTTATGTGCAATTATTACTGTATTTTGTAGTTTTTATCATCATGTTTCTACTGCGTAAGTAACGCAGTATGAGTTATTTATGCATATTTTGACCCTTTTTGGTAATTAACGTTGATTTTATATGCCGATTGTAATGTGTCAAGTACTTTCTTTGTTCATTTCACAATATTTTACCTTTAAATAAATTTTCAAAATTTTCATGAAAGTTAAGATGATTCTGGAGGCGTGCTGCTTTAAATGGATTTTTTAACTCTATCCCAGTCGTTAAATTACGTTGTTGAAGATTCTTCGTGTAGAAAAACTATTTTTAAAAGCTACTTTTATGTCTTATGCGATCAAACACGGTAAAATTTATGAAACATTTTCTGAAGCTCTTTAAGCGTGAAAGTGAATTGTTTTTTCTAATGGAATAAAGCCGTTACATGGCTGAACATGTATAAGCTCATAAAATATTTTACTGATGGTTTATCAAAATCATGTGGTGAATTTGTTTTTCTTAATAAATACAAATCTTCTGTTTGTTCATGTATATGCGAATTTCAGCATAAGGCCTTAGAATGTACTATTTCCCTTCTTTGAAAAAAGGCACATTAGTGTTATTATATTTAAACATTGGTGTCAGAGCATGTCAAATGCTTTTCACTTACGTCATATGTAGTATGTTGTATAAAAATAGCATTTTGCCACATTTTTCCATGTTTCTTGTCTCATCTTGCACGTCTCGAAAATGCGAGAAAACACGTAAGCAAAATTATACGACAAAGAATGTGTCAGTAGTTTCGAGGCAAAACAATGTCAAAATGGCATGGCAAAAATCAGCAACCATATGATAATGCAGATAAATCTAGATATCTACAGGAATTAAATTAATTAAGCTCAATCAATATGAAAGTACATGATTGGGATTTTGTATGAAGTTTTTCAATAGTGGAAAATGATCAGCATCATCAATTTGTCTGTAATCTTTATGATTTAATGATTGAGTTGATAACATTATGAATGTGTATTAATTATATAATTATATGTCTGTCATTAAACATATCAATCACTCGTTTTCCTTATAAATGTATAGTCCCATGTTTACAATTAGTATTATTTATTATATAATAATCAATACAAATATCCCCTTTTTTAGCAAACTTAGGAGACATTACGTACTTTTGGCGTTTAAACGAAAATTAAGTTAATAATTAATTATAAAGATTCTTTATGTCTAGCGGGATGTATGTTGTATTAATAAATCAATTAAAAATGTAAATGCATGCGAATGGGGAAATAATCTATTAAAAGTATGGAGTCAAACATTAAATCAGTTGCGTTGATTGTATTTGTGATGACAGCAAAGAACAACGTGTAATTTATGATCAAATGTTAAACATTTAATATATGGTTTTATCATAATTATATTTAATAAATAGATAATAACAAACAAACAAAATTTGACAAGACGTTTGCGTGAAAAATAAAAAAAATCAGATATACAAGAATATTGGTTATATGCTATTTACAATTCACTGTTGTTGAAAAATGCTGTGGAAAAAAAACGTCTTTACGTAGGTTTTATTAGAGGGTCGTTTTAATACACGTAGCAAACTTAACAAAGAGAATAGATACAATTATAGTCGGTAAAAAAATCTAGGAAACATTAATCACAACAAAATTACAAGAGAATTGCAGACTCGGTTTGATTGAGTCTGTACATGCGTTGTATGCGGTCTTTTATGCTCATCTGTCTACAGATAAGAAATGCAATTCATACATTTATATACTTCTTTCAAAACTTTCATATCTTTCAAAACAACGTAAACTTAGACAAACAAAGACACAATCAAACTAAACTGTTTTTTATTCAAAGCAAAGGAGAAAAATATAACATCTTCAAAACAAAAACAAAGCCACAATTAAAGTACTGTGAAATCATTTATATTCTTGGGCATGAAATTTAGTGGTTTTATCAAAACGAGTGTTTTTGTTGGTTCTAAAATTCATTGATTTTAATATTCTTGTGAAAAGTAATGCAAAGTAATCTTTCTCTTAATCACCGCGCTGTTTTACTTACCGCATGTAGATAACACAGCTCTTGTCAATCCTTGGCTCTGGACGTAACACAGTTACTGTCGATAATTGACTGAAACACGTTTGTATGACATGATATGCAGCTCCATTGGTCACACTGCCCCTATAATTCGCCGATGTAAACATTGTATAGTCAATTCATTATTTTAGCGACCATATTTTTCTATTGTTGTTTATACTTTAATTACGACATTAATATCGAAGTCAATTAGACTAACAATTAATAAGTGTAAACCGAGCAGTTTTATCGGTGCTAATTAATGCACTGAGTCCCCATTTTTACTCGATGATGTCACTTATTCTGGCTAAGACTGATCAAGTAGTCCCCCCTGATGTTTATATGCAACGAACATTTGTGACAGCAAACTGAAGACATACAATCGACTTATCTTCCGAATTTATTAGATATTGCAAAACTAAACTATGTATGGATTTAATCTGTCACTAACCTGATTATTAGTATACATTCTTACCACAAAAATCGGCCGAGAATGGGTCGACGCATGTTGTTTTTTATAGAACAGATATATGGTAAAAAATATTTGTTTGGATAAAATTTTGTCGGGTCTTTAATTCAAGTATTGACCTATCCACGAAAACCACGAAAATTCGTGCTCCGCGAATAATAATGATTTTTCAGTACATTTTTGTTTGTAATCAAATAAAAAAAAACACAGCTGTTTGTTTTTTTGAACTGCATTAACTTAGCAATGATTTCATGAAGCCAATGCCGTGCCTGTAATTTGTCCAAATAACCGCCTAACGGTTGTGTGTGGCATTTATATTGTAACTTTGTAAAGGTTGATAAAATATCAGCTATATTGTACCATAGAAAGAAACAGATAAACAAAAATACTTTCTTTACAAACTACACACTGATGTTATACATTCATATATTTTTAGACTTATTTATTAATCAATCAGTTGGTAAATAAAATAGAGGAAAGGTTAGACAATTTAGCGTTGTCAATCAGCATTTCGGTATTCCACAAGCTAACATAAATGTTCCAATTTCTGTGGCTGCATAACACAACAAGTGGCCCCATCTGGTAGTCGGGCAGCGGCAGTAGTTTTCGGCTTCAGAAAACGAGGTCTCTGGTATCAGATCCACATTTATTTCATTTCTGTAAATGTTGTCATCCCATCTCTCGCATGTATGGCCAGTTTCTGTTATGTTTCGTTTTCCTCTATAGAGTTTGGCGCGTGTGATAAAGCAATCTGTAATGAAATGTCAATAAATGATATTTTGTCATCTAAATTACTTTCCATCTGCATAAGATTATTTTTTCAAATTATGATATAGATTATATAGTTTTACTATTGTAAACATTATTGCTTGAAGTGATATTTAGCGTTTTATATTGTAAATATTGAACATTTTTCTATATCATTACCTGTTAATTAAATCGTTTTAATTTATAAACTGTGGCAAGGGTTCCCTGTATTCTTAAACATTGTTATCAATATGGCAAGTTATTATAGCAGACTCTATTAAAATATTTTTTTCTTAACAGATTTAATTAATTACTAATTTTTCGTTCAATAAACATAAATGTATATGTTAAATAAATCTATTTAAAGCAGCACGCCTCCAGATTCCTGCTAACTCTCTTGAAAATTTGAAAATGTATTAAAAAGTAAAATATGGTGAGGCAAACAAAGACAATACTTCAAACATTGCAAATGGCAACTACTAGTACCAAAAACATAAGTTATATTTAATAATTAATTAATATGCAAAAATAGCCCTAACTGCTTTAGCATTGCAGAAGAAATATGATAATTATAACAACAAAATCTGTCATTAGTCATACATAGCATGTAAATTTTAAATTCTTGTTTTACTGTTTTTTGAATTATATATGTAGTACATTTTGCTCAAGTTTTATATTCTTGAAATATTTGCTTCATCTGGAGACACGCAGCTTTAAATATAAAAAAAATAAACAGTACTATTTCCGTAAAAATCAACATTATGTTTTCTATTAAAATAAAAATAAATCTGGAAAAGAAACTCTTAGCATATTGCATTAATTAATTACTGTATGCCTGTAATTGTTGAAAAAATTATATACATTATTGAAACAGCTATTTTGACGTCTTTCCTTAGCTCCGACTGTACTGTAATGAAAATAGACCGAACTGCAGTAACAATACAGTGCAAGTAATTGTTCAATGTTAATGTGTTGATATAACATGTATAAGACAGAGAATCGTGCAGTCAAAGAAGCTTGTATGACCATAGCTATCTAAATAAAATTATCATTTAGGTGGACTTATTTACATGCTTTTACATTGAAATTGTATTCCTTCAACACCAAAATATATTCTTTATTTATTTGGATAAATAACATGATGTTTGATAAATACACTCGTATATTTATGGTGGCTATTCGTTGCCAAAAATCCAGCCTTGTTGATCTGAGTTGAACAGTTTGTTAATGGAAAAAATACAATTGTATTTCTTTGTATGTAAACTCCAATGTTGCATTCTTGGATTGAGTTTGCCGATTTATCATTGTAAACATGCATTTCAACAAAATACATTTTGTTAAACGACAAAGCATTAACTGTAAGTAGCAATACCAAGTGTTCGAATACACAAAACAGAAGTTACATTCTTAGCTTTACATTGTCGAACCATCATGATTCAGATCAGCATAATCCAGCTTTACACGTTTTTTCAATAGGAGATAAAATAAGCTCCGCCCATTTCCCCGCCCACTACATCATCGTAAATAAACGTATTTTCCGCTCATTTTCGGTATTTACCGTCGGCGACAAGAAGCGGCGTAGTTTCCGTTTATCATACCTTTTAGGTGTTTAGTTACTTAACATAATTCACTTGCATGATTGCCTTCAATCAACATCAGCGGACTTAAAAGGAATATAGGCATATAATTTTTAAAACGTTATAAACACCACATTTCCTGGAAAAAGATACTTGAAAAAACCCAAAAAACACCAGGTTACATACTGTCTGAGGTTAAACATTTTTCAAAGAAGTGAAAACTATTGAAAAGACTATATTTAACGACAAATAAATTTTACTGATGGTTTTCCAGTTTGCATAGGAATTAGTAACATTTACAGTTAAGCTGCTACCTTACCACTTTCAAGTTTTCAAGTCAACATCTGATAGAGATTTTGATACGACTAATTACTAATACAGACCAAATTCTGGCTGTTGTCTTTCCTAGTAGTACTATTATATTAGTAACCTTAATTCTAGCGTATGACTTGACAAGAAAAAAAACTTTTAACAATAGTAAAATTATAACCAAAGTTGTATGTACCCTTTCGTACATAACTTTTTATTTTTACCATATATTTTCCCATTTTGTTTTTCAATAAGTAAAATTTAAATGAGTCCAAATGTATGTATGTTGATTATCAATTCATGTATACCTTGTTTATTTTATCTCTTAGAAAGCCATCACTTACAAAACTTAATAAATATTCTGTGTAGTATTTCATGTACATAAAAGTAGTTCTCTGTTTTTGATCATATAGACAGCAAATCTAGACAGCAAATCTAGGTAACAGCTAATGACAGCATGTATACACATATTTTAGAGGTGCTTTTGATTCAGCACAATTCATAAAAAGACCTTAACCTGTATGCCAGCTTACAATGTACCTATATTCAACAATAAAAGGCTAAATCACATCCTATGACTCAAAATACCTCCAATTGGAGGTAAACAGAGTTGCCAGGATACATTGAATATTTATTTCAACATTAAAATGGGACAAATTCACAAGTTTTGGTTATACAACGGAATTATCGATAGTAAACTTTGCATTGTTTCGTGGTTATACACTTGGTCAAAAATATGAGTTTTTTTACAACCCAACATAGTCCTTTTAAGAAAGAAGGCACAGGCTTATTGTTCAGTTCTCTTTATTCGTGTTGCCAAAAGTGCCTTCCATGTATCGCAATCTTGTACTATTTGCCGAATGTAAAAATACATGTGCTTGAGTATTGCCGTGGCTCAGAAAACCATATCATTTATATTAAGGAATAGTGGTGTGTGTCATTATATATGTGGAACATTTCCTTATGTTATTTCACCAATTTTAGTGTTTGCATATTATTATGCTCATTATCAGTATATACGTTGTTATATTTTAACATTATATCTTAACCAATTTTGCATTATTTGAATATTCTGTTCTAGAATACGTTTTAACAAAATCAGAGGATGTTCAAAGACAAGATTGATGTACCATTTCTATATAATTTGAAATATTTTTGTACCAGCAAGAGTTACCTCTCTTTATATTCTGCTTTCGTGAAATTGGCTCCGCCTATTAATTTTCGTCTATTTCCGTGATAATTCCACATATGGAAGTTGCAAAATCGTTTACAAATGTTAATCGCGTTAGAATGTAAAAGGAAAGTGTGGTGTTGTAAACCTGAGTGTGTCAAGTTGATGCAGTTACATTCTCAACGTCATGATGCACAGCATTAAACGTATTGTGTACGTTCTATCGTTTACGTTTCTACATGTCGCAAATTTGAAGTTATACATTTATAAATACAGTTTGCAATTCATCTAAGTTGCATGTGTACAGCTTTCATTTTATCAAATCGAGATAATCAAAATGCTTAATACCAGTGCAGTATGTAACTCTCGGGTCGACAATTAGATTTTTACTAATCTGTTTAGTAGAACCGAAGTATGCATTGTCAAGTTTCATAGGCTGGATTTTTGGCAACGAATAGCCTCTATATATATTAAGCACTTATCTTAAAAGCAAAACATGGAATTCCCGTCTTTTGTAATTTCCGCACACAGTCAATATAAAACATTTATGTGATATAGATTTCCTAAAAGGATCTGAGTTTGTCTAGTTTACCGTTTTATATTAGTAATTGAAAAATAAGCAACTTGTCAAAGGCGCATTATAAAGGGTATATACATTTAATTGCTTTCTATTCCCCTTCCTTTCCCATTGTAATATGTTTCTGAGTTAATGAAGATATCAATCTACTTGCTTTTACGCATAAGGCAAATTAGCACTCATTAATTATCATTTATACTGAGACAATCGATATTATATCAATTGTGACATCAAGCATTTGCGACGCGAAAATTTGCCCGACAGCATTTATGCCTTTTAAACTATATTGCCATTCCTTTTAGAATAAGAAACCAAATTGAGATTGCATGCATTACAATAGAATACAAGAAAAGCATTGGTTAAGCTACTATTTTAATGACCTAGTCTGACCCATCAGTGTGTTTACATGCCTATCAATAAACCCATAACTCATGTTAAAATTGCAGACGAAGAATACTATGATTAAACAATTAGTAAAAATTGCCTACTTAAAGATTGCAATTAATCTTTTTAATATATTTGCATTTCATTTCCTGCAAAATTCTCCAGTTCGTTGCGACACGAATAACCGTTTCGGTAAACTAAAACTACTTCTATAAATAGATTTTCGGACTTTCACACAATGTTCAGGTCATCATTCTATTTATAGATAAAGCAATAACACTGTGTACTACAAAATGATTAATGAAATATACCGAAGAGCGGGATTAATTGACGGATAAGATAATTTCATTTGAATCTGTTTACATTGCGAAATTTTCCAGTTCGCTATTCATTTTACATATCGTGACATTTCATTTTTGACAATCAAACACTCATACCAATCGGAATGTTCGGCTATTATGGCCGACGAAAAGGCTCAAGAAGTTGCAATTGCCCTTTCGCAAAATCTTATTTCATTCCATAAGGACGTCGCGCTCCGGCGCGGACGCCAAGAAAACAAGTGTCTTATAACCTCTTATAAGGCTCGCCACGAAAGAAATAAATGGCTCATATTTTCTTATATTTGTCTGCCAAGTTTTGTTATATTAGTATTTTGCATTTCGTGGTTACTTTGGGGTAATTTTAGATAACTTATGTTCTCTACTGAAATCAAATACATACAAGAACAAACTTTACATTACCGTATTCTTCACAAAAGGTGGTTTCCCAGGTACCATTGAATGTACACGTTATTTCGTCAGGCCTGGCCTGGAATCTAGGATCACAATTAACAGTTGCTCTGTCCATAACGCTTGTTCCGGATTTCAGAGAGATGTTTCCGTAAGAAATAGACGGTGGGATCCCACAATCTGTGATCAAACAAGAAGAATATATTCTCAGAAATTTGTGTTATTACACTGCATTCTGCAAGGTCAATGGCATTATTAAGGCACCTTTGCATTTCTATCTGGCAATGTCACCTGAGAATACCGAAAAATATTTAAATTTACTAACAGCTTGATTGGAGCTATTTAAGCATCTTCATATTGAAATATTTAAAACGTTTTTTATTTGTTTAAGACAGAACAAAATGCGGCTTGTAAAATAACTTCAACAAATTCTTTCAATATTGCACTTCTTCCTTTACAACTTCATGGAAAGTTATGTTAAAACTGCACAATTTCAAGAAAAATCGATTTTGTCTTTCGCAAATCAAAATGGCACAGACATACCACGCATTTACTGCCTTCACGTCCATTAAAACGTCTCTCACATATTTGTTTAGCGTTTATGAGGATTTTACAATCACATTGGGAGGAAGATCTCTTTGAAAACTTGCCGTCTCATATGGATAGCAATCATCTTATTTTACAAAAAAAAATCGGGGCATTGGTGTTCGAGTGGTAAAGATAATTGACTTTGAACCATTTGCCCCTCATCGCTGCTGTATATTCGAATCTAAATATTCAAATCACGTCAGAGACTTTAGATTCTTTAATGTGACGTAATTATCCAACTTTTATGGAAAATAAAACTGTAAGATTAAAGCACTATTCACTTTCTCTTACCGAAGAATATTCTTTATTAAATTTTATTAATTCAATAAATATCATAGAAAAGCTAAGTCGGCTTCGATACATAAAAAGAACATATTCAATTACATAAATATTCAAAAATATACATTAACAAAACACTTCTCACTATGTAGAGTTTAAAACAAAGAAGAAAATAGTCAGCGGAGACACAAAATTATATAATAAAAAACATATATAACTTAATTATTATTTAATTCAGTTATATGTTGGTCATAAACATTAATGAACTAAGAAGATTTAGCAGGAATATTTACCTCTCCTTGTATAATGCAAAAACCCGTCTGCAATTTCCAGTTCTGTCTCTAAAAAATACATACACCCATCGCATCTCCTTTTCTCTGGTTGGTAAAAAATGTCAACACAGGACGACGATTTTTTACAATACAAAGCACATTGCATATCGCTGTAAACCTTGCCAATACTAAAAACGCGTTTCAAATCAGGGCAAGTGTAACCATCGAAAACTCTTGTCCTCCTTAAAATAAAGAATTCTGAAGAGTACAGCAGGCAAACCGACATACCAAGTGCGAAAACGGAGAGAACATTAGCCGATGCCGTGTTCCGCATATTGGCTGCGGCTCGCGCTTCTACTATAATCAGTTATCTTTTAAATTCATTTCTTTATAACCAATATCGCGCATGCTCATTACTTTCAAAGTTTAGCCCTGTAATATATGAAATTTTAATTATAGTTTAGCCGGATGGCATTCGAATGTATTATGTATTTTACTAATGAAAAATGTAATAGCGTTAGAATAAATGATAGCTCACTTTTTAACAATATATCGCATTGCTTTTTACAGTTTAATTAATTTTCTAATTAATGTTTGAAATTGGAACTATTTACCATGTCAATTTCACGACAATAAATGTTGAGACTTTAATTAAAGTGCTAACGTAATGTAACAAAAATCAAGCAAACATTTTGGTCCATACATAATTTTACAAATACACAGTAAAGACCAAAAAGGGAACTTAGATAAAAATAATCCTTTCAGATATATTGACATTTACAGGACGTTTACGGCCGCATCAGGCAGAAAAAAAAAATGTTTAAAAAGCGGCTCTTTTAATTGTTTTGAAGCCAGAACTAGGTTTTGTAATGCTCTGGTTTCTATGATTATTTACTTATTAATAATTATAACGAGATTTAACTTCAATGGAAGAAACTGAGAAGATAATCCAGTCATTACTTTTCAATCGATTCCCCTGAGATGAGCATTACCAGTTAGTAGCTGTGCAGCGTTACATTTGCTTTACCATTTTGTCTAGTGCTCTCTTGCGATCATTAATCGTTTAAGTAGTAACACGAAGGAGAAAATCGCCCATACATAAAACATCGATTTTATTAAAAAAAATTTAACGAATTGATAAATGCCAATCAACTTATCAACAAACATGGAAATTTGAGGTCTGAGTTTAAAGTTGTATCTTTTGAATATATATCTTTATTTACTTTTTAAAAACTCTTTACATTGCTTTAAAAGAATCGCATTTCAATCGATGTTCAATTGATCTTGCCCATTACGATAATTGATTAGATGTTGTAAATGCCAATATTTTTTAAACTATTTTTTTAATATTTACCGGTATCAAAAAAGGGTTAAGCTGGTCATGTGAGTATTATAGATTTAATATCCTTATTCAAATTAAGACAGTGTTATCATTTCTGTCACTTTGTAAATCTTTACATAAATCTTCCCTTTTTTCGAAAAAAAGAAAGAACAAGAACTCTTGCGATGATGACTTTTATTAAGTTATGACTCATGTTTTTCTAAGAATTGGACATTGTCTAAACATGCTACGTCACTTAAATAGTCACATAAATAATTAAAAGGTTAGACGTTAATATTACATTTTTAACTTGTAGAAAAAGCCTTAAATTACAACCATGTTTAATTTAGGTACGAATTGGTACGTTATTAGAACAGCCAACCTTCCTTAAGCTACCCTGATAACACGATGACAACATCATTAATACAAATTATTTTAAATTAGCAATTGCTCTCGGCGAACTAAGCCATTTATTACAAAGTGCAAATATTGTTTGAAAATTTTATAAAAATTGCTTTATAAAAAAACAATTCGGTGTGGTGCTGTCATACTTTATATATCTTATAGGTTATACTAAATTTTGAAAATAAATTTATCACAAACATACTCATTTGAAAATGAAATAATTTATCTTTCATTAATGATTTTCACTTTAAAGGTTTGCATTCTTTTCATTTCACTTTAAATTTACATCGTTGTTTGCATAAATAAATAAACAAGAATTCAAAATATAAATACAAAAGGCCGATAAACATGCCACATTCATGAATTTCAACATATGGGATTAACATTATTCACCATTTCTTTTTCACGAGTTTACGATTTCTGATTTTAACTTTATGAATTCATGATCTCAACTTCACGATTTCAACTTAACGAATCTACATTTGAGCTTCACAATTTCCATTAACTTTATTCACGATTTGAATTACACGATTTCACGATTCTATCTTCACGATTGCACTTCACAAATTATAGATTTCAACTTCGCGAAGTATAAATCGTGAAGTTCAGAACGTGAATTCACGAAGTTGAGTTCGAAAAGTTGATAAGCATGATCATCATCATATCATCGCTTGAATGAATAATGTTATCAGGTTTTAGGTCTTGTTACTGTTTTGTTCATTACGCAGGCCGATTATCACCTTGCGCTCGTCTTTTTGGTGTATGTTAAATTTGTATTCCATCTTACTTTCAGGATTAACTTAACTGATGAAAAAACTATTTTTGCCTCATCTTTCCTATCAAAATGACACTGTGATTTCTCCATTGTGGTTTAAATATTGATATATTACTGTATGATATTGGAAATATTTGGTCGTTCATCTAATGTGTAAAAGTTTATTTTCCCGTAATATTCTTAGAATTCTATTAATATAAGTAAAAGCCCTTTTTCAAAAAAATATATATCGATTAGTTGATTACGTAAAATATTTATAAATAAATTTACCAGAGCCCACTTGTGTCAGTTTTTCTCCAAAGATTTACATTTTCTATCGCAGACCAAATGCTTACTGCAAAAAGAATAATTGCGTCCAATAAAATGTATTTTACTAATTATTGTTATCCAAAAATTTAAAAAATTTAATATTTATTCACTTAAGGTTTTATTTAATGGATACTTCTTTCTTATAATTCTATACCTCCCTTGAACCATAATTTCAGTGGCTGGTCAGGGACAAACTCAATGTTTTATAGCATTGCATAGGTCATTTAGACATTATACATTCAATTTGATTACATACTATGTTCGAATATTACAAATAAAATGATTTGTGTGTCAGTTTTTGTTCTTTTTGATGTTTTGTGGCTTTTTTGCCTATTTTAAAACATGTTTGGTCATATCTTAGAGTTCACTTAAATTTATTTGTTTGATTGATAGAGATTTATGTCACATGGACAAAGTATAGGTAGACGACCTCGGGTGCCCTTCCATGCATTAGTTCAGGCACGAACGGGCACCTGATCAGTAGAACTGTCAAATACCGTAAGCTAGTCGGATAGCTTCATCACATGAACGAATCCAAAGTCGCTGTCGGGACTAGAACCCAAGTCGATTAGGGATGCGGTCACTTACTCGATCTGTAGGAGAATCATAATTATGCGAATTATGCATGTTTTTTAATTCTCATCTTTACATAGAAGATGACAGGTACATTCTAGATGCATTAATGGATATCTTGAACTTTTTTCAAAACAACTTTAAAAAAAACAAAGATATAATTAAAATACATTTTTTTATTCAAACCGAGGGAAAATATTTCTAAATATCTAGCAAATATTATCTAGCATTTTCTAAAATTTGTTCAATTTACTTTAAATGATGTCTTTCAAGGGATTCTACTGAGATGGGATCAAAAGCCTAAAAGCATAAAATTTGAATTTCTTACAAAGAAGAGTGCTGGGGCACTTACTACAGAAATATATGCAGAATATAATTAAGACATATATCCTGAAGTAAATAAAAGAAATCGAATTTTGTGCTATTTTAGCTCAATTTGATTGAAAAGAGCTTTGCAATTTTGCACACAATATTATTTTGAGCCCCAGCATACAGGTGAAGAAAAACTCAAGAAAGTCTCTTCAAGCTTAAAGAGTGTTTTGCTATTGTCATTGCCATTTATCAAATTATCCACCAAAAGGTTTCGGTGAAGAGAAAACATTGATATATCTTTGTTAAGGTTGATAAAACAATCCGCTATGTTGTATTGTAGAAAAATATACTAGTTAAAACACTTTCCGAATAAAAGACTTGCTTCAATCACTACATTATGGTAAAATACATCTATATAGTTTTAAACTAATTTATAATAAGTATTTTAATTAATCAATCTGTGAACAAAAGTTAAAAGGTTAGGCACTTTGCTATTGCCTCGTCAACATTTATAAATCCCACAGGATTGCAAAAACGTGTTAGGTTTTTTGCCTACAAGACACGATAAAGTGTACCATCTTGCAGTCGAAAGGCGGCAGTAGTTTGCACTAGGCTGATAACCACGCCCTTTTTGATGGATCCGAAATTTTATCAGTGTGATCAGCCCATCTCTCGCAATTATTGCCATAATAAGATATGTTTTTTCTTCCCCTGTAGGTGCTTGCCCATTTGACATAGCAATCTGTGAATGAATTGTAAATAATTGATATTTCTTCACATGATTTGTTTTACAGTTTCGAGAAACTGTATGTCGTCTTAAATGTAGACTAGATGTGCAACAATACAGTGAAACCTGTATTGCAATATATTTCAATACGGGCAATCAATATTGCAAAACATATTTCAATATGCTTAAGATGATAAAGAGAATACATTAAAACTCTTTTTTATATTTAAGAAATATTATAAGTTCAAAACACTATAAAAATTTCTTATATTCAAATTATGAAAAAAGTAATTTTCAGAACTCTAGATCTAGTATAAATCAAACATGAACATCGACGTTGAGGTCTTAGCTTGCAACATAAACATCGTCTGCAGAAATAAACAAAAAGATACTGCTAGATCTGTGAAAAATGTACACCTTCGGAAGTTATTGCTTTAGGTTTAGCTTACTTTAAAAATGTACATGCTATTACCCTTCTCTTAATTAAATTGTACCACACTATATTTTATTTCTTTCCAATCAAACTTACCCTCTATATCTATTGTAGAATATTAAAATGTAACCACAAACAATGTGACTTAACAACTGATTTTTTAAAAACATAAATAGATGTAACATTGTTGACTCAATTCTTTTAGCGCGTTGATTTCAAGGAAATTATTTGGGACCACAAACACAACACATGCCTTCGTAAGATAAAAGAAAAACTTCGTGTGTTCTATATTAAACGACATGCGGCGGCAATTCACAGATATATTTTCTTTTTATATTTTACGAATTTTAAAATAAAATTGAAATACATAAATTTCTATTTTGATCATGTGTCATGACTGAATTTAGAACAAGCTAGTCCGGCAAGACACTAGTGAAAATACGGAAAATATGTTTCACTGCAGTATAAAATAAATTCTTACAAGTGAAAATATAGAAAATAGGCATTTTTCATTTTGTCAATATTTCACAATATTTCATATATGAGTATATAATAAATATTTTTTTAAAAGCCATGATCTAAAAAGTTTTTGCTTGAAACAATATACACATGTATATGGCTTCTTTCGCATAATTTTGTCCTGTATATAAAAGGCAATACAATTTAACCATACCATGTTCCCAACAAAAAGCTGTCTCCCATTTACCATCAAATTTGCACTTTATCCTGTCAGAGTTGGCCCGGAATCTTGGGTCACAGTTAACAATAGCTGTGTCCATAAAGTGTGTTCCAGTGTTCAGAGAGATTTTTCCGTAAGCAATAGCTCCCGGTACCCCACAGTCTGTGATCAAGTGAAAAGAAAATTTTCTCAGATATAGCTAGATCATATGCGGCTTGATTTATTTTATTTATTTTTTTTTTTGGGGGGGGGGGATGGGGTCATTTTGATATAACTTTAATTTAACATTTCTTAATATTATTCATGTTATACAAATACATTGAGTTGCATTACCATTAAAGCTGCATTTAATACATTTCATAACAATAGCGAACGCCAGGTCTAATGCACCGGTGCGTGAAGCTAAAACGGTTAAAGTGTGTTTGCACAAGAAAATCTCATATATGCTCTGTTCAGGATAGCAACTGTCACTGTGACGTAACTCATACACGAGCGGTTTATAGTCTTCATTTGCATGTTAAAAGATTCGTATATAAACTTTAGTGTTACCGTTGGGGTTTCCTTTAAAGTCGTAATTTATGACCAATATTTGAATATTTAAATGAAACTGTAGAATGCTTGGTTTTTAGGTCGACGACAAAATGTTTTTACATATTTATTTAATGCAGCTTTAAATGTCGTGTCGTATATCATTCTTTGTGTTTTCCTGGCAAACAAGTACATTTGGAGAAAGTGACCTGTTCTTAAGGACGACACTCATTTTAATGCACAAAGATTTACAGGCACAATGACATAATTAACAACCATTCTGAAATGCATTTACTCAACTGAAATATATTCAAACTATTATCACTCGTTCTGCTTCTTCTATAAATCATTAAATCTTGCAAAAAAATATAAATGAACTAAATAATACGACTTAAATATTTACCTCCTCTTGTAAAATACAAAGACCCTTCTGCTGTTTCCAGTTCTGTCTGTAAAAAAAGCCTACATCCGTCGCATCTCCTTTTCTGCTTTTGGTAAAATATGTCAACATAGAAAATCGCACCTTTGCAAAACACAGCGCATTGAAGATTTGTGTAAACATTGTCAATACGAAACACGCGTTTCGAACCAGAACAAGTATAACCATCAAACAACCGGTTTCTCTTTAAAACAAAAGACGAGCACAGAAGGCAAACCGACATAAAAAGAGTGAAAACAGAGAGGGCGTGAGCCGACGCTATGTTCCTCATGATTCAAGTGCGGTACGATTCTACCTGCGTCATCCTCTTTAAATATTGTTCTGTTTCTAACAAATATTGCGCAAACTCAATATGATTATAATCTTGCTCAAAACTTTATAGTCCAATGGGATTTTAATGGATTTGTGCATTTAATAAATAAGTGTTTGAAGTTTGAATAATCTAAAAACAAAATCAACTGGTGTGTGCACTCTAATGTTTTCCTCATAATTGGTTGAAATTGTAGTTATTTACCATTTCAATTTTACTTTACGCATGTGGATATATTTTACTTTGAATTTTGGTGTAAAGGTAGACTGTTAAAGACTTATGCCATAATCAATTTCATCCATATCATAAAGTTTATACAAAGAGGCATTAAAAATTAAACAGAGCGCTTTCCTCCGTAAAGATTACCTACGAGATTGTTGTAATCTCTTATTAACTATTTAGATGCATTCTTGAACAGGAGCAAACAAAATTTCAGACTGGTTGACACATCATAACATAGAAATAGGCTTGACACAAGAGAGTTTGCGTTCGCACCATTTCTACATTTTTGCATATTTAGTTGGATTATTTATTTCATTTATAGTAAGTATCAATCTGCATGCCCCATTTACGGCTATACTTTTTATATGCAATAATGGATAAAACATTAAACGTTTTCTAAACTACAAACTTTCACTGTACATGCCAGGTTTGCGATGGTTTTCACTGATATAATTTGTTGTATTTTCTGATTGCAGATCAGGGAATACAATGCTGACATTCAATCTTAGGAACAGCGCTTCCCGACATACCTAACAACAAGTAGTTTTCAAATCAGCTTAAAACTACGATGTAAAAGAAAGAAATATTTTTTATTTTGTTACAAGTATCCAACAAATTACATCTCATTCAAAGTTTAAAAGTAAATTTGGCTTATATAGAATGTTCCATAAATTAGGCGGATGATTATTAATTTAATCAATGAAAATAATTGCTGGGCTAGTTCCCTAAAGCTTCGGATTATTGTGACCGGAATAACCCCCCCCCCCCCCCACACACACACACACCTAAATGAACATTTGTTATTTCGACTTTCTGAAAAATAAAGTAAGGATGTTGACACTAGGACAGGGACGAATTTAGGGCAGTCGACGATCGATAATCAATTCAAACTTACAAGTTAAGCACCCGATAATATAATCCGTTCCAAGTAAACCAAATGCTTTTTAGCGATGTGGATTACGCGTATTGCACAAATAAATCTAACTGTCGAGTAGTGAAATATATACACGTCGGATTGTTTGGGCGAGAAGATTTTTACTAAATTATTTACATCAGTGTTAAACAACAGGTTTAGCGTGAACAAAATACCTCATATATTAATAAGAATGGAAATTCTAAATTAAGAATCATTTGGTTTTATGCAGGCCTATTTGTATTATTTCATTGGCGTCCAGGGGTAACACCCTGGTTTAAACATATTTTATTTCATACATTTTGCACAAACAAAATTATCATACAATAAAGAATAACACAATACAATGCTGGAAAGGGATCAGAGCCGAAAGCATAAAATGCTTTTAAAGGCCTTTCTTGTAGTAGGATGTATTACTATAAATAAGACGGGTTTTGAAAATGTTTGAAATATTGAATAAGAAGAGAAAACAATAATTAATACTAGTAGACTGAAGGAAGATGAAAATAAAAAGTCAAGTTTACGACCTATGAAAGAAAAAATAACATATTGTAAGTGTTTTATCTATAAGGAGTAGAAATATGGACCTTATAGATATAATGCAATAATTGTCGTGTTAAATAATCTATTCAGTTTAAGACTTCTATAACTAATAAATAGTGGACAAGAGGAAGATCTATTCGGTAAGTAAACTGAAGGAGCAGTTGATGTAGCATAGACTATGGAAATCGTTTGCTATCTCGGATATACATTTGAACTGCCTGCAATATACTGATGTTGATGTCGTCACTTAAGTTTGTTGTTAAGTAGTGTATGGAGAGTTAATTTTTATACTACAGTAATTTGAAAGCGTTTGGTAAAGGCTGTCTGTGATAGTAATGTATTGTTTGCATTTATGAAAAAAATGCTGATTAATTTTTTTTTAAAAGATCGTGGTTAAGAGATCTACACTCTGTTCGTAGACGTCCATTTTCTTATACCTTGAAAGAAATATTTTTGACACTTTTTAATGTTTCTTTTCAAAAGACACTTGAAAGAAGACAACGAAGGGGCATTTTGTATATCATCAGGTAGTTCATCCCATTCTCTGAGAGCTGAGGGAAGAAAAGAATTATAGTATAAAGAATTTCCTGAATGTATTCCTTGTATATCGTTCGAATTTCGTAAATTATATTGCGAGGTTTCACGTACAGAAGGAGAAACCAGACTTGATAGGTAGTCAGGAGAGAGTCCATTTATCATTTTTTAACAAGAATCAATCTATTTTTCTTTCTCCTTCTGTCAAGAGGTTTCCAAGGAACCTCTCGTTGGAGCTCATGAAGGGACACAAGTTTAGTAGAAACAGAGACAATTCTTGAAGTTTCGTGTTGGATTTTATCGAGTTTATTTTTTTTATATCGAGTACAATTGATGTAAACAACATCGGCGTATTTTGGAAGTGGTCTGATATAAGACAGGTAGATTATTTTTAAAGATTTAAGATCAAGTTGAAATTTAAATTTGCGCATGATATGTATACGTTTCCAAGCTCTCTTTTACATGATTAATATGAAAATGCCATGATCTATCGTCTGAAAAGTGTAAGCCTATGTGCATGTGAGCTATCACTGAAGATATTGTCTGGTTTTGCATTGAAAGAAGTGGATGGAATGGTTAAGATGTTTACGTGAGATTAGCATGGTTTCAGATTTGGAAGGGTTAAACATGACTAGCCAATCCTGTTTATGTCAGATTGAAGAATATCAGCCGCAGAAACAGGATGGTCAACGGTCAAATACAGGCAGGTATCGTCGGCAAAAAGATTTACAGAGGACTGTAAGTCAACAACAATGTCTTTTAATATACACTAAGAAAAGCAGTGTACACAGAATAAAGCTTTAAGGTACTCCTTCGTTGATTACAGACCAATCAGATTTGGCGCCAGGAAGGACAACAGATTGACGTCTGTTCGACAGATAGTCAGAAAACCAGTCGTGGAAGGGTCCTCGAATACCGGCTCCTTTTAATTTCAGCAGGAGACCCTTTTGCCACATTTTTTCCAAGGCCTTGCTGATGTCGAAAAAGACCGTTATCAAGGGTCTTACAGAAGGAGTTTTAAAGAAAGGTTAATTGATTTACAGTAGAATCGCCGGATTTGAAACCAGATTGAAGGGGAGATATAAGGTCATTATCATGAAGAAAATTATAAATATACTTGAAAATAATGCGAAACAGCATGAGAGAAATATAGGACGATAGCTGTTAGGTAACGATGGATCGCCTTTCTAAAAAAATGGGCAAATGTTTGCATCTTTCCAAGTTAGAGGAATCTTACAAGAGCGGAGTTATTGATTAAAAAGGGAACAGAGGGGGTATTTGATTACGGACAACGTTTCATACCGTTTCATACCGTTTCTATAACGTTAAGATCCGATTGCTTATTTTATCAGGCCCAGAAGCTTTATTAGTATTAAGAGTTTTAATGGCATATTCAACATCTTGAGTAGTAATACTTATTGAAGTGAAAGTGTTCCCAGGCTGTTAGTACAATTACTCATTACCAGAACTTCTTCATCAGATTTTTCGAGAGAGGACTGATTGCAAAAAAAAATGTTGTTTAATAAGTCAGATTTTGATTTGTTGTCATATGTAAGTCTTTGAGTAACTGGGTGAGAGAGTGTCGGAATTATTTGTTTTTCAATAGGTGAAATGAATGATTAAATGAGTTTCCACCAGTCTTTCTGCGATGTGTTGTTTGATGTGAGTATGCAAGTTTCTGAATCAGGTTACGATTGGCCGTGTGAATAAGCGAGGCGATTTTATTACGTTATTGTTTGAATGAGTGCCAGTGCATAGGATTTTCAGTTCTTTTGCCTCTATGATAAAGTTTTTATATTTTCGAATTTGTTTGATTTGTGTGGTTATCCTGCATCAGTCGGTTTTACTATTATTGATTTTGTAGGTATGGACTGCTTTGAAAGGTCGAGGACTTTTCTGCTGTTCATTTATGTCGATGTTAGTCAGTTTGCATCATGCTTTGTTTAAGTGAGTTGTAGTTGCCTCGATCATATAGCCATATACAACTTTTGAAAGATCCTGATTTATGTTTAGAAAAGGAAAAAAGAGCAAATATAGGGCAGTGCTAGCGAAGATTTTGGTCTAGAACTGGTTGCCCAACACCGGGTGTTATTACTAGATGACTTCAAGAAACAAGAAAAAGATCTTAAACAGAGGCTGACGTCTCTTGATATTGTGTAGGTTCGTTAATTAGTTAATTAGGGTAACACGCTCGTTAAGCGTGTGAGAGGTATGGGTCGAGGCTAGAATCACTTGTCAAATACATTGAAATTGAGGCGCAGAAGGGTCTCTTTTTCTTTCCTTTTTTTCTCTTTAACATTATTTAGGTATCTCTTAGATCCCTTATGAAAGAAAAAAGTGTTTGATTTCAATTAATTAATTATTATAGGCAATTATTCGCTTAATAATGCCAAATTTAATAGCAAATATGATACCAGATATCTTCAAAGTTTAATAAAATAAAAAATACACGGTAAAATTACTTTTTATTCGCATGATCAACCAATATACTGTTAAGAAATAAGGCAAACTTTGATACAGCCCCTCATTGTGGTAAATTTAAGGGATATTTTGAATAAGATTTTTTATATAGTGAAATGGTCAAATAAGTGTTTAAAGTGGGTGAGGTAGGGTAACATTTTTATACATATGCTAAACATTTTGTTTAGAAACATCATTTTCTCGTGAAATTTGTTACCTGAATGTTATTACAAGGATCAATAGGAAAACATTTTCCATAATGATGATATTATAGATTATTTGAAGTTTCCTTATTTCTGAAAAAAAAGCCTTTCTAACAGCAAAGTT